TTAATTAAAAAAAAAAAAAGACTCAACTGCAGAGCAAAAAAGAATCTCAACAATTCTCCTTTTTGTAGTGTCTCAAAGTTACTGCAACTCAGGAATTCTGCCTCTGGGCAGCAGTGGGCAAGTCACATGGAATAAGGACAATGAAGGAGCCATTATCTCCTGTTTTAACAATTACCAGGGAATACCTAGGAAAGCTTTATTTATTTTAAAGATTTGTAATGAACGTTTTCTACCAGTAAGGAAGGAAGGACACCAGCTCATGTCAGACAGAAAAGCTGAAGAACTCCTACCTTTTGAGGGGCATCATGCTCTGGGACTAGCCACTCTAGCTCTGAGGCGGCAGGGAGCTGCATCCCCTCAAATTGCTTCAGGAGCCCCATGGCCACTGCCTCAGCAGACGTGGAGTGTAGGAAGGAGTGAGAACTGGCAAGGAGAGAACCAGAAAGGCTGATCACAAAGGGAACAGGAAGATGGGAGCCTACCCTTCAGGATCTGACACCATACACAGTAACCTCTGCACTGACGAACACTCGAACCCCGCTCCAGACTGCTCAGCTTTTTTACTCCTCATGGTCAGAGAAAATACTGGTCCTACAGTTCTAAGGCAGGCCAGGTGTGGCGCTGTAGGATAAGCACTGGACTGCTAACCTAAAGGATGGCAGTTCAAACCCACCAGTTGGTCCTTACAAACCCTATACGGGGTTGCTATGAGTCGGAACTGACTCCGTGGCACTTAACAACAACTCAACGGCACGTAACAACAATAAATTCTAAGAGCCAGGCTGAAATCCCACTTCCTAGCTTTGTGACCATTACATGGAACTGCTAGTTAAGTATTCTGTGTCACCTCCTTTCTCTACATTTCTGCTTCTTTAACTGCAAAATGGAGATTATAATGCCCCTTGACAAGACAGAGATGAGTAAAATGGTTTTGTGAACTATAAAGTATTATTGTTTCCCCCAAATTAGGTCTACGTGATACAATCTGTTCAATCTGATTTTATAACCCAAAGTCATGATTGTGCCTCCTTCTCTGGAGACCTGCTGTTCTAGGGGCCTCTGGTATGGTCACAGTACAGCAGAGAAGGAACAATACAGGCTGCAAGCTTTGTCTCCAGAGTCCACCCAGGGTGTACCAAAGATCTTCTGTTCTCGTCCCCTGGGCTCACCACTTTTAGACACAATCCTGCCTCTAACCTTGCCGTCTTGTCTCACGAATATGGATGGCTTTGTCCATAGCCTTTCCTACCCAGATACCGAAAACTGGGTAAGTTTCTCACATATCCCAAGGTTTTCTAAAAAGTACTTACAAAGACTGGGAGGAGATGAAGGACTTGCTGCTTGAGGCTGTGCTCCTTCTGATGTCAGCATCTAAATGGAAACCCAAGATAAGAGGGTCAGGAGTGGTAAGGGATCATGGAACAAGGTGTAGCCAGCTAAGCACTCAGAGCAGCAGCGAGATGCTGCATTTGATTGCAGGACAGGGAGCACAGTCCAGATGGAGACCACTCAGTGAAGCTCTAAACATAGGGCATAATCTGACTCTGTTAAAGTCACAACCAGGCTGAGTTAGTGACATTATGCATAGCACTGTAAAAGTCAAAGTGGTTACAAATTCAGGCGGAAACACAAACTCAAATTCGGTGCAAAACAGTGAATAAGAAAAGGAAGCATCTTAAGGCACAGAGACAAACTGCCTCACAAATAGAAACACAAAATACACGACTCCAATCTCTGTCTCATTCTCTGATTCTCAAGCTCTCTTAAGTGGCAAGGTTCGAGAGGCAAGAACTTTTACCAAAAACATGGAACTTGGGTCACAGAAGGTACTCACTAAATACATGTGGAACTGAAACTATTCCAATTATTCCTGAGTACTAGAAGTCTTCTGTATCCTTAAAAAACCTTCATGGAAAGATTTCCTTCCAGTATGGTTGGTACAGGGAGGAAAAGAACTTTTCATGGCTTGGCAACTCCCTGGAGATGCCTGATAACAAGTTTTTACTGAAACAGCCAACACAGTTCTCACGATATAATTCTTGGGCAGAACTACAAGAAATTATGGCACTTTCCAAAGGCTATTTCTGATAAAAGAGTTTGAAGAAAATGTCTAATTGCAATATACCTGAACCTCCAGAGACCTCATCTAGCCAAATAATTTTGATAGAGAGCAGGAAAAAAATGTGAAATGTAGAAATATGTCTAGAATAGGCAAATAGCACACATGAAAGCAGAATTGTTCTGATAAGCCCCATTCCTCACTTCCTTCAATGCCCAGCGAAGAGGCATTCTTCTCCTAATGAAGTCTACACAACTAAACAATTTACTGTGTTTGATTCCCTCAACAGAGCACTAAGCTTGTACGGCATCTAAGAGTAGCTCCATTGTTCTTCACATGAATCGTCTGTATATCTGTGAGTGTATATGGATACATGTGCCTGTGTGTGAGTATACAGATATATACTTGTGTGTAAAGCTAGATTATAAAATCCCTGTGAGGAAATGGGATTGCAATTCATTTTTCTGTTTGGCATAAAAACTAATATGGGTTCTGCACACAAGCATGGCTCAAATAATATTGCTGACAAATTAACATCTTCAAAAGTATATACACACAAAAGAAGTATATACAGGTAAGATAACAGAACTGAAATCTGTCCGTTCTTTTTCATATGCTCTCTAAGCACAGGAAAACATTAGTTAGACATTAATAAGAATCTTAACTGGTAATTATAAAATCTATTTTATTTCACAACAAGTAAGTTCATACATATTTTCTGTCTGAACTTACACCACTCATGCTTTATTGCTGGGTGCCATCAAGTGATCCCACAGAACAGAGTAGAACTGCCCATTATGGTTTCCAAGGGTATAATCTACCTGCCCCTTCCTGCCTTCTGAGTTTTGTTTTCAGGCACAGGATGTCCTTTTGGTCTGGTCTGGTTGACGGTTCTGAGGAGTACGTTCCTCCCTGGCGTTACCTAACATTCACTTTATAGGTCTATCTGTGATTTTACAACATTCTTTTGAGTAACGCTTGCCTGAGACTGTGTAAAGGTCTCGTCTTTGTAACTCTCAGAGTGCTGTGTACATAATAAGCTCTTAGAAAATGTTTCTTAAATGAATGATTAATAGGCTAAAAGCTAAAAGCAAACATAAATCTGTTTGGGAGTGACAGAGAAGGGAAAATGAGACAGCCATCCTTGAATGAAGAGTTAACTTGTTTAGCTACTTTCAGGCTAAGCTAGTAGAGAAAATGCTGCACACTAGAAGGGAGAAGTGATTAAGTCATGGTTGCTAAGGAAACCACTGTCTTCATAAAAAGTATTTAGCAGTGCTTCATCCTCACAGAAATCATTTTTGTTCAAGAATAAAAAAATCATTCTCTTCCCTTTGGAAAAGGTAGTCATGTTTCACCTCTTTTTTCACTAGAAAACCTCTTAAATAACCACGAATGTCTCCAAGAGTATATGGAGCACACTGCTTGGCATGTGAGGATCTCACCTCAGAGGTGAAATCAGGCAGCACCGGATATCAGAAGGGACAGGACATCTGATACTGACCGTCTTCAAGAAGATGATTAAGTTGATGTGATGAGTCAAGATCTTAAATAAAAGTAGAACAGGGAATAAGACAGAAAACGAAGCAGCAGACAGAGTCACTGTGGTTGTTAATTGCTGTCGAGTTGGTTCTGACTCACGGGGACTCTGTATAGGGTTTCTGAGGAGTGACTGATGGGTCTGAACTGCCAAACCTGTGGTCAGCAGTCCAATGCTTTTCCTACAGTGTCACAATTGGATGGATTAAATGTACACCAAATAAATAAGAGAAATAAGTCTGAGACCTTGCCTTCCAAGTGGGAGCTAACATAATAATGAACTTGTTAAAAATCAATTCTGCATATAAAAGCAGATTCATTTTTCCCCTAAGGTGACTTATTTCAAATGTTTCTGATAGGATAAAGCTGTTATTACTGACTGAAAAAAGTTTAAAAATATAAAAATAAACCAAAAAGCAATGACATGTTACAAGAATGAGAAATTGCTGCATGTCAGACACTGGGCTGATCAGAGAAGAAATGGTTAAAACTTTGGACTCTAGCAAAACCAGGAAAGTTTTAAACAAGTAAGTGAGGCACAGAAAGATTGTCAACTCCTAATATTTACTGGCCTGTCTGATGTGGGTTTCCATTCTGCTTTCCTTCAAGCAGATCAAGTTATACCCAACACATTTGGGAATCCCAACTCCAATGAATTCTAAGTGCTGACCCAAGGAAACACTTTAAAATAGAGAACCATAATCATTCTTGTTTAAAAGGAAGAAAACTTGATTTTAAAAAGCAGCTGTTGAAAGTAAACGAGGTACAATTTAAAATCTTGTCTTCCAGGAAACTTTCTTCTTGAAAGGACAAACAGACCAGCCAGGAGCAGCTAGAAAACCAGAAGATACTTCTTGAAAGAAAGACCTACAGGAAAAATACAAAACAAGAAGGGCAGTCCAACTGTTACCACAAGAACAAGCAAGTTGCTTGCCCAAGAGACATCAAGGCAAGTGGTTGGGTCCTCTCAGTGCAAATCCTCTTCCAAGACTAAGACATAATGGAAATACACACTCTGACTGGCGACCACGCACGTCACCCATAAAGAGAAGTGACTGAAGAACATCAATGAAGCTGTGAGCTAAGCCCTGCATCGTTCAGCAGACTACTGTGAACCCGGACGGCCAGCAGCGAAGCAAGACCTGGGGACTCATGGG